ATGTGGTGCAATGAGACAGCCCAATGACCCACTGACTATCTACTTTGAGGCATCCTCCACAGAAGGTGTTGTAAAATGTCAGTGCTTTCCTGTTTATCTTGTTGAGCTAGTTTCGGGGTGAACCAAATGCAACAGGCTTGAAACAGTTCTGCTTCCTTCCTGCTATTCAGATATTCCTGTTGCCCAACGAGGAGATGTTTTGTGGTTGCTGTCCCATGACAAACTTGCACATGAATGCACAGATCTGCTATTTACTGATTGTATGGAATGTGCAAAAGTACAAAAAATAAATATATGGAAAAATGCACAAAGCGTTCTAGTTTCACTCTGGTTCTGGGGAAAACACATTTACAGGAATTCACTGTACTTTTCCACTCCTGAAGGAGGTGGAATAGCATAGCTTTCAAAGTGCACTTTGGTTTAAAGAACTCTTCCGTTCCTTAGACTAAAGAAGTAGTTTGGAAAGGAAATTTTCATTTCTGAATCAAATTGTTCCGAGAAACAGAAAAGAAATGCCAGTTTCCCCGAATCTGATTCCCTCCATAGCTGTTGGACTACATGGCAACACTGCAAGAGAGTGATGGGAATTGTAGTCCAACACAGCTAAAGGGCACCAGATTTTTGAAGACTGCCAAACTTCATTATCAGATCTACATTTATTTGGGACCAGAAATGTATGCGATGTGATTTCTCAATGTAATTGTCTTCTACTCAAATGAGGGCTACAGGATGAGGTCTGTCCCATTCCCCTTTGACTGCACCCCCAATTCAAGTCCGCCCTGGAGCGCTGATTGTCCCTTGAACCGGAAAGACACAGGCACAGTCCAGCTGCATGTATAGGTAGCATCATCACCTCACCTGCAGCTAATAGTAGCTCAGTGGGGGTAAGTTTCATCAGGCTGTCACTATATATGGGTGTGTGGGGGACAAAGATTGACACTACATTTTGCATTGCTGCTTGGGCTGCTTTTCAGCAAGAAGGTTACATGAGAAGGTCCATGCACACATCTCTCATACAACATGTAGGAAGCCTATTATTTGTTAAATATCAGGCCTTCCTTGTTCTCTAATTTTTTTCACTGCCCAGCAATAGGGGATTTAAAGAGGAGGCAAAGCAATGCAATTTCTTCATTAGCTGGATTGATAAAAAATAAGAGACAAACAGACAAAGAGAATGACTTCAATAACAGCAACAGCAACCTCGTGGCTTCCTTCTTGATGAAAAAAATTAGGTATAAGATATTCTGGATCAAAAGATAAGGATCAACTTGCCCTAGAATCATACCCCACCTATGAAGTTTTGCAGCTGAGGTAAAATACAAAAGAGCTTCCCCATTCCAGTTACTCAAGCCAGCAATAACAGAAATTGAAGCTTACACGAACACTAGTAAACTGGGACACCATTTTGCGCCTCATCTCAGGGCAGAAAGCTAGTTTAAAGCCAGCAGATCTGGTTTTCTGGTGCATACACCTCTGCCAGCCAGCAGAAGGGAATGGGGATAACTCCATGAAATACTTTACCATTTAATCATCTGCACTTTTCAATTTTAGCTTTAAAAAATGGGACTCAGCCTCAAAATGGAGGGGTGAGTCCTCCCACATTGAGCAAGTGCGACTGGTGATAAAAACATTTTACCAAGGGAAGCTTATTATTAAAAGCTTTTGGATATCTCTGAATCACATTATGATGTCCAATATGTGCTCTTCTAATGAGAGAAAAAAGGGATGCTTTGGGGAGACTCAAAACTAGCTTTTCTATTCTTTTATTTAATCACTGTTTCTTTCACAGAAATGTAGGCCTGCTCTTCCTGGTTACTATTAACTGGCAGCTGTCATTTCTTCCTAATAATATCCAACGGGATTAGAGGGACAAAATGGCACTCTTGTTGGCAGCTTTCATTTTCTTTCTTGGAAGAATACTTCCTCATGATTGGGGGGAACTAGTAACCACTCAAAGGAATCTTGGGTGGTGGAGAATTCCCACTCCTCTCCAGTGTGGAATTCACTCACTCATTGGTGGAAGACCAGCACAAGTCCCCTACCCATTTTTACTACTGTACTTCCCCTTACATTCGGTAGGGCTGTGCCCTGGATTTGGACAAATCATCCGTTCCAAACTGAATTGCCTGATCTGCACTGAGTTCTATGAAGTCTGCATCGAAAATTTTGGAGTGGCCAAAAATTACTTTGTGTCCAGAGCAGAATCTGAATTGGAAGGGGCACAAATCTTTTCAACCATTTCCCAGTAGGACAGTTACAAATTGCCCTGGATCCAGGGCACGAAACAAAGTGGATGGGATGTAAATTGCTCAAGACAGAATCAAGAAACATTCTAAAGCCTTGCAGTGGCCTTCCAGCTGCATTGGAAGGCCTCTGCACAGCTCTAGCGACAAGCGATGGGTTCTTTCTATCTTTCTTCCTTAGAATCAGTTTTCAGTTCAAATTATTGCTGTAGAATGTATTTATATTATGACTCTTCCCTCTATTGGTTGCCACCATTTACAAGTAGGAAATTGTGATTATATTCATCCTAGTGTAAGAACCTTATGCTTTGTATCCAATAGCTAAAATAATTTTAAATTTCACATTTTACAATACTCTTAAGTACTTCATGAAAGACTATGTTGTAAACAAAATTGATTTCTTCATAGAACTGTTATACTTCTAGGCAGTCTTTTTTAGAGACTGAAAAAACAGAGCAAGGGAGGCTTGGCTCAGTTCACAGATCTTCTCAAATAACTAGGCAGAATACAATTCATTTGTTACTGGAAATCAGAAAGGGAAGAAGGAGCCTGATGACCAGAGCAGGCAGCCTGTGCAAGAGGGGCATTGACAACATGCTGATATGGGGTTCATAGCACTGCTAATATTTGTTTCTTCTTTCTCCTAGCCTCATCTCCAGTTTACAAGGAAGAGGATGCAGATGGAGTCACTGCCAAGACTTTCCCTGACTTAAAAAATCCTGTCCCCACCCTGGAAACAATTAGATACTGCATATAAAAGAAAATACTGTTATTGATGATGGATTGATGTGGAGCACCAGTTACAGTAATGTGCCCCTCTCTTCTTCTCCTAAAAGTGAAATCACTTTTATCAGATAACTGTTCTGGTTGGATACTGATAAATGTGAGATTCCTTCCTATCTCAGAATAGCCAAAAGCCTATGCTGAAATGTGTCAATTTACCAATTTTGATTTCACTGAATTTCACATTTCCCTGATTTCAGATATGTGTAGGCCTGCACTGAGTTCAGTTTGGAAACACAGAAAAAGGTACCCTAATATATGCATTTTTGTATTCACTTTTCTTAGTGTGTACAAATGCACAAATGGTAGTAATTCCCCAATCCTCTGGATTGCCACTAGTGACACAGGGATATGTGAAAAACAAGCACGGAAGCTGAGATTTTATCGAAAGCCACAGTTTGGATGAAGTGTCCCTGTTGTAATCTGCAGTCAAGTACTTCATTAATTAGTAATACAGCATAGTGAGTAGAGGTCCTGGAGGAGGTATCTGTTTTGAGGAGTTACCATTTCAGACTGCAAGTGAAGGTATTAAAACTCTGAATGCTCTTCAACATAAAATGTGCTTAGTAAACATACCAGATTAGCATACCAGGAATACAACTTTCAGCTGGTCAATCCCATGATGTGCTAGCACTGTGTATGTGGAATGGATTTTATGTTGAAAAGTAACTTTTGTTGAGTAAATCCTCTCCTACAGAATGTGACAAGAAAAAAAATACATATAATGAAATGCTAAAGCCAGCCAGAACTGAGTGCTAAGATGATGCTTTAGATTCCACAGCATCACCCTACAATGGCCCATATATGGATGGCTTCTGCATGTCCTTATGCACATTCTTCTTGAAAGTTACTTGTCAAGCACTGAACTTCACCTCTTCCCAGGTCACATTAAAAAAATTTTTTTTTGGATATTTTGAGTAACTCTATTGAAATGGCTGAAAATGGCTGCTTGGAGTGTTTTTCCCCTTTTTTCTGCTTCCTGAACTAAACTTCACACTTCAGACGGGAAACATTGGTTGTGATCTGTAACATGTGTTGTTTTTTCACTGGCTTCCAATGCAGTCTGGGAGGCAGAGAAAGCTATATTCCCCATGAGATTGCTTGTTTTCTAGCAAGCTGTCCCTAATGAAGATTACCTGATTCTCCTTTGCAAAGCTAAGATCCTTACTGCTGGGTATGTGTGTGTGTATATTCAATGGTATATTCAGTCTAAAGGGGAAGCTGGCTAGATACATGGATTTGGGTGAACCCCATTTCATGCTTGATCCACATTGAGCAGACTTGGCATTTTTCAAAGAAGGGAGTTTGCATTACAAATGCCCTTCATAGTTAAACTTTACGTTGAATTTAGCATTTCAGTATCACCCTATAGAAGGAAATGGGACAACCCAGCCATAGAGCTTCTGGTAGGTAGGGATTAATTTTCTTGTCATTCCCACCAGACATCAATGATTTACTGTGGGTTCAACTGAACATTTCAGATGCCTAGACAGAAGTATCCTCCCCGTGTGACTTAAAAATTCTCCCTCAAAATGTTTCCTTAACCTCCCAGGGTGGTCATGTGTGCTAGTTTGCAGGGGAAAGTGATCCATTTTAAAGATGGTCAGTCTTCTGTTTGTAAGTCTGTCCAGCTTAAGTCCTATTTAAAGAAAAAAAAGACCCCTAAGGATGGAGGGCAGCAGAGCCTGAAAAGTTTCTGATCAACAGTACCTAGCAGCAGACTGGGTAGGCATCCTGGCCACCCAGCCAGTCTATGGTGAAATATATTCTATTTCTGTTCAAATTATGTATTTCTGCATTTATAAGTATGTACGTTTTATGAAAATCCCTGCCCTTTTTTTGGCCCACATTTTTAGTGGCGCATTTCCTCTTTTTTGGCAATGCTTATGTGGCCACTCTATCCGTTAAATAGCATTCTGCTTCATTCAAATGCTGGAGGAATAAGATACTATATAGTTTATCCAACACATTTTATAATAGGCGTAACAATTTATTCCACAGACTATTCCTGTTCCTATAGATGGACTAAGAGGATTGTGCAGTGGCTTGATGTTTCCTCTCCATTTCCTCTTTGCTCTTCTTTTTTTAAGAAAAGCCTCTGAACTCCCCTTCTGGCATACCCTGTTCCTCTGTGGGGTGTGTGAAAGCAGCATTTCTCTTTGGCTGGGTCCCTGTCACTTATCTTCCGCAACGGATACCTCTGGGCTCGAGTCAAGATCACTGAGGGCCTCTTTGTTTGTGAAGGTGGAGCTCAGAGACAAACTGTGTCGAGGGTTCACAGGTGCCAGCTCATTGAGGACAATATTCTCGCTTTTCACAAGCGTCGTCTTGTCCATGTTCTCGCGACTGTACCTTGCCACGACAGCATCCAGAAGGTCTAGTTTGGGTGGCAGAGTGCCACTTTCAAACAAGTATTTTGCTAGGTAGGATACGCCGATATTCGTGAGGAAGGAGGTCAGCATGGCCATGGTCTTAAAAGGGAATCGCTGAACGTATCGATCATTGTCTTTGTACCAACCAGGATAGAAAATCAAGGGTTTCAACTGTAGATACGGTTCCCCTCCAGTGATTCGGAGCAGGAGGCCAAACAAATATCCGGCAATGGCTCCGTATGTGTTCGTTCCTTTGACAAAAAGGACACACAGGAGCTGAGGGAAGATGATGATGTACACCAGGTCCGAGCTCAAGTACCAGAGTCCATACACTGAATGAGTGAGTAAGGCCATTGCTGTTGCCAAAGCTCCAAACACAAAAATGGTACTACGCATGACCCAAACTATTTCTCTGTCCGATGCCTGCAAGACACAAGAACCACTGTAAGTGTTTTCTATTACTGTTCTTTAAATCACAAAGAAAAAAGAATCATATAGATTCAAATTTACCAAATAGACAGACAGATAAATTTCATTAGGATAATCATGATTCATACCTCAACTGACCTGATAAAATCCTGACATTTAGCAAGTCCCCAAGCATCCAGGATTGGATACTTGGCATTCCCCAAGTATTAATTGGTTAAAGAGCCTTAGAGAGACGGGAAATGACTTCATTTTGTTGGACCCTGAGAGCTGAGCAGTCAGGGCTTAGAAATGTTGGCACTGGATAGGGATTTAGGGAGTTACTGTTTTTTTTTTTAAGGTAACTTGTTCAACCTCTGAAAATATGCCTGAAAAATATTACGTAGTAGAAGGGTTGCCATAAGTCACATTCACCTTGACAACATGTAATTAGATTATTAGGTCCTTTCTGGTAAAAAATAACATCACAGAGTAGATGAGGAAATGGAATATTTGAGAAGTAAAATATACACACATCTCTCAATGCATATAGAAAAATTTCCACCTGGTCTCTTTCTCCCTTCAGAGGCTTTTAGTTTAAGGAAAATTCAAATATTCAGTTATGCCCTCTTCAGCTTTCTAAAATGGTATAATTCTATGCAGAACGGGACCTTAAAAATTAAAAAGAGGTCGAATTGGTATCATCCCCTGCTTATCAGTGATACATATTTTTTCTGCTCAGACAGTTTGGGGAAAAATGACCTTTCTGGCGATGTACCTGCCTGTTTCAGCACATCAGTCATAGAAACACCTAGCCTCTTTTGATCCTCATCTGCATCTGGCTGTGGAGCCAGGCAGGAGAATGGGCTAAAATCTCATGTTGTTTCCTTAGAGCATGCCCAAAGCATGCCTTTTTATATGCAGGGAATATTTTACTTGGTACAAATAATTTGAATGTAGCAAATTGTCACTGTTTGGCATAAATTTGACGGGGTGGGGAAGCTGAAATTCCTGTATTGCATTCTAGATTGTTCCTGCCCATGCAGGCAATATTTTACTTGGTACAAATAATTTTAATGTAGCAAATTGTCACTGTTTGGCATAGATTTGATGCGGGGGGAAGCTGAAACTCCAAACCATGGTCTGTCACCGAGCAGACGGCAGGAACAATCTAGAATGCAATACAGGAGTATATATATAAAACACAAGCTAAAACAAAGACCCTTCTTTAGAGCATCCATTGGACTTAACAGTTTTCTGTTTCAGAATTGACAGTGTTAAAATGTCATATCTGAATGGAGTGATTATGGAAATAGAAGAGTTTGGGTGCCATGAAGGGGCAGTAAACAGTTCATAATTACCTTTGATATTATTAGGGGATTTTTTGATTTATGTGCCACAAGAACTTGCCTGAATTTGTATACTATGTACCTATGTAAATAACACAAACAAACAAATAAACATGTACTCATGGCTAGACTGCAGTATGACCTGAGTTCGATCCTGGGTGCAGGTACCTGGATTGAGGTTGACTCAACCTTCCATGGTCAGTAAATTGAGTACCCAGCTTGCTGGGAGGGAGGCAGTGTGTATCATGAAAAATTGAATTGTAAACCACCCAGCTTCACTCTTCTCTTTCTTCATAAATAGAACTTGGGAAGATCTTTTGCAAACAACCCACAAACTGGGGAGAGAAGCCCACAAAAGTAGGTGGAGTTAACTCCTTATTTCAGGGCTTTGTCTGGCTGAAAAACAATGGAATGCTCCAAGGACACGCAGATGGTAGACTTGGGTCTGCTAGTAGAGTTCTGGGTGATTTCTAATAGATGTGAAAGGGCTTCTGACTCCCAATAGTATGTGATTAGCAAGCAAAATGAAAAGTTTCTTTACAATAAAATATCCCTGTTGCTCCTTACCTTGTGCTTCACAAGACATGGTGCATCATTATTGGTCAGTTTGATCCTTTGTGTACCTAGCCTTGATCTATAGTAACTCTGATATAGGATTGTATTTGAATACAGAGATGGGAAATATTACTCTTTTTTTAGACCATAGTTCTCAAACTTCCATAGCCAGCATAGGCATTGGCAGATTAGCATTGGAATGCTTGGAGTTGTCATTTTCTTTGATTACTCAGGACATGTCTTACAAAGTCTAGCAGGTAATTAACTCCATTACACATGTGCCCATGCACACACAGTTTTGCAAAGGGTTTTGATTAGTAGCCCACGAGAATCACATAAAACTCAAGATTGATCCCCCAAGCCAAAATCTGCCCATCCCAGCAACACTCCTTCTTTCCTTTACGTGTTAAGAATGTCACCAACCACCAACTGTGGCACTATTGCCATCTCCCGCCACAAAACCCCTGTTGCAATTTACTCTTACACTTTGCCGGAATGAAAGTTGGTAAATATTCCGTGCAAACATGGAACTTGCTGATAAGATGGAAGAGTCAGCAGAGGACATAACGGCAGCGGACACTGCCCCGAGGCCAAAAAAGGAGATGTACACTGGGCAGAGATACTGAAGGACTATGGGCAAAATCATGTCAGCTTCATTTGCTGATTTGGGATCCAGGCCTTCATAATCAGTTTGGTTCCAATCTGTAATACAAACATGCAGGAATTATTAAGTGCGCTTCATAGAAGGAAATTCAGGCTTCTGCACCAAGCTGATCTTGATTTCAGAAACCAGCGTAAGTTATGTTGTTAAAAAAGAACAAAAGTGCATATGGCTAAAGTTTGAACGAGACCCAGGAAGAACCAAGTTCAGCACTCACTCCTGCTAGTCGGGTGGAAAGTCAAATTGCTAGCAAGAAAAATAAACCAGTACCTCTGGACTGCTGGAAATCTTGTCCAGCACTCCCCCCCCCCGTATTAAAACTTTGTATGGCATTAGTCACTGACTTTTAGGTTCATCTCTTGAATTTCAGGACATTTTTTGTTGCTGTTTATAAAACAACATATCAAATGTAAAGGCACATTTAAGACAACATGCAGGTTGACCTTAAACCTCAGTGGAACGCCTTGTCCAGTGGGCTGTCTGTCTGTTACGTGAAGTGATTATACATCACATATGCTCATCTTCCCACACTGCTTGTCAAAAGGCACTGTATGTACCATGATCACCCGCACATTAGGAATTTCAGATTCCTCGTATATTCTAAACTAAATCAAGATTCCCCAAAAAACCAAAAGAGACATTTTAGAACACATATTTTAACAGCATTAAAATCATGTACCCTAGAGTAGGAGCAAGGAACATCCACCTCCAACCTGCTTTTCTAGCTACAGTCAAAGCATAATCCCTTATTATTGGTGAGGCTGATGGGAGTTGAAGTCCAAACCATTGGGAGCATTTAAAATTCTCCAAGTCCTCCTCTAGATTATTTTCTTTTCTTTAGTATCCACTGTTTCAAGTTAAAAGGATCTGGAGACTCAGTGTACCTGTTGATGCTCCGACTGCACCAATGAGTATTGCAGGCAATGCCATCAAAAGACATCCAAAAGCTGCGAGGAGGGATAGCACTTGAGCATACACGGCAGAGGAAGAAGAGAGGACGCGCTGGAAATACGCTTGCCAGGGGATTCCTCCAAAGATCTGCAAAGAACAGGAAGTGACCTTTGCATTATTCCCAGCTCAGGGAGGCATGGCTGCGGTCACTTGAATACCGTTCCAAGTGTAGCATTTTACTGCAGCCAAATGATTGGTAGCTCCTGAAGAGAGGCCCAGCCGGCCCATAGCCGGTTTTCCTTCTTCTAGGCAGAGGGGTTTTCTCATAGAGGGACCCCTGCACAAAAGACTCCAAAAGCTACAGCGTCACATGCTGGTTTTGGATCTTCTGTGTCTCAGTCCCACGCTCCACCTGATATACCACTGTCCATATAGCTTGATTCCAAGAGGTTGGAATGGGCATGAATTTCACGTGGTTTGTTTTTAAAAGAGAATTTCCCCAAACTCCCAAATGTCTTCATGGACTAGATGGAAAGAATTTGAAGCCAAATGAAAGTCAACATGATGGCCACTGAACTGCAGGGATATGAGTGCTTACCTTTTGAAGTTGAGCTTCAAATCCCTCTATATTGAACTGAATTTGAATTATCACACACTTCCCTTCCCCATGAGGCCCTCCTCATTTTTAACTATATTTTTTTAAAAACACATTTTTTGTGGCCTGATCCTCTGAATACTCCCAGCAAAGATGTTTCTCCTGCTTTTCTATAGCCAATTCTCTAATAATTAGAAAACTGAAGTGATTCGTTAAGCTTATGATTATTCAGTGATAACGCTTTGAAGTCTAACCTTGTCACCATTTTTGAATTTTGCTGAATAAATCGGTGAGAGGTGATAGGCCATAGCCTCTCACAGAGATGCTTACCAGTAAGGCGAAATTGTCAAACCATGTGAAGAGGTCAAGTGTTTTAATTGATCCAAGCCAAGGTTCTTGGTATACTTCATGGACAGCAGTGTACCCAATATCTGTTACTGCAGGATGGGACATGGCAAATGGAACACTGATCCACTGTAGTAAAAAAGTGAAAAGTAAAAATGGGCCTAAAGATATGCAACAATAATATTTGACGCAGTTATATGTTGTTTAGCAGTTCACTAGTTCCAAGATGTGGTTCTGCTGAGGAAACACAGAAGGCACCAGGATTTCTTGCAACCAAAATTTAGTACACACACACAAACACACACACACACACACAGAGAGAGAGAGAGAGAGAGAGAGAGAGAGAGAGAGAGAGAAACCATTGAGTAGTGTGGGGACATCAAATAAATATATTGCTTCAACAATATTTTCTGTGTTTGTAAGCTGAGCTGTTAGGGCAAGGACACAAATTGGTGTGTTTTAATAAAATGGATGAGGGCTTGAATGTCTAAATGTTGGATTTACCCCATTATCTTCATATGTTTTGCGGCACAATCTGTCTGGAAGGTTACAAGCTGCCAACCCTTGAGATGAGGTAATAGAGACCCAGAGCTAGGAACTAGAGTCAGAAAACAAAGGCGTAATTTGCTTCAGCAGCCACATTGTGTAAACAGAAATCATGAACAGCATTCATTACTGTAGAGCATCCTTAAGGTTTCAGAGAGGGAAAAAGGTCTTTTCAGCCAAAAATTGGTGATAGTCTGAGGATGGGCAGAATGCTGCCGGGGAAATGTCACTGGTCTCTAGGAATTTTTTAAAATGCTCCAGAAATCCTGCATGTATTTCCCTTGAGTTCCATCTTCTCATAATTTGTTTCCAACTTGTATTTCTGGGAGAATTCTAATGGCATTTGGAGGTAGAAGCCTAAATGGTTTTGGTGTGCATGTAATGATGATTCCCTCTTTATAGCAGTTAAGAAATTGGTAGCAGGCGGAGGGGAGGGGAGGCAGCCTTACCATTCGGTAAATGGGACAGCTGCCTCAGGCAGCACATGCTGGGCTGCTGTGGGGTGGTGCTGGTGAGAGAGCAGTGGGAAAATATAGGGAGAAAACTTCATCCTTCTCTGATCAATAGGAATGGGTTTAATGTGTGGAATATACCAACAAACAAGAACCAGTTGCATTGGTACACCCTACAGATAATACAGGCACAGCAGCAACTACAAGAGTTGACTGAGAGGGACATTCTCTTCCTCCTCCTCCTCTTCTCCTTTCAACACAGCCATTCAGCATCTTTCTCATACGTTAGGTCTCAATGAAGCATCTGCTTCCTATGTTTAGACCACCTTGGCTTTATCAATAGAATATGTATGTGCATATGTACATGCACTGTATGGATGTACACAGGCAGAGATAAAGACTTACCAGGCCTATGAATATGCAGAACAGTTGGACCACATCTGTGTAAGCAACTGAATAAAGACCTCCCACCAGTGTATAGAGAACTGCAATTAGGGCAGAAATAACAACTGAAATATTGACGTTGATGTCAATGATCACACTTATGGTGGCACCTGCAAAAGAGAGATGAGGATTGGAAAAGGAAAAAAAAAGATATTGGTCTACTTTATTGCCATTTCAGTACATTTTTACATGATTGCTCATCTTCAGATTTCACCTGTTTTAAAAGCAGTCTGTATTTTTCTGAGAAAGTAAAGAATTACGAGGATTAAGGCAGACTCCCTAAAAAGCCTAATCTGCACTGTGTTTTTTCTGAATTCTGATGTGCACAAACTCTTTGTCAAGTGGATGCCTCCGGAGAAGATCTCTTATGAACACGGCTGCTGTGATGTGTGGTATAGACCATCAGGAGGATCTTTCACATCAGAGCACTCCCAAACCTTGGCCAAGAGTTCAACCTGGAACATGCAGTACACATTCTGTTGGCCAGGCACAGAGGTTAGAAAGGTTATCTTTTTGGACTACAACTCCCAGCCTCCTCCAGTTGTCCATGCTGCTTGGGGAACTCTGAGAGCTATAGTTTTAAAAAGTAACTTTCACAAGCTTTAGTAATGCAGCACAGCCATTGCCCTGCATCACTATTCCAAGGCATCATGATGCTATGGAAGAAGCTCCCTGCAATGTGGCCTGAGGTGTCATCAACACGACAGAGGCAACAAATACATCATGGGGCTGAAAGAAAAAAAAGAAAGAGGGAAAAGGGAGTTCTGTGGGAAACTTTCTAACCTGGGATTAGAAAATAATGATGCCACTCATATAGCTGAAACACCTCACAGTAATATTAAAGACAAATGCAGAAGCAAAATGTTAAAGTTATAAACATAGAGATAGGCCTGGAGTCATACAGAGCTGCACATCCAAAATCCTGCCCATTTTTGAAATAGAGTACAAGAAGGCAGATATTATATGCCCCTCTTTCGCCTTGCTCAGATTTCTCCCATGGTGTGGGATTAGAATTGTGTTTCCTCAAGGAGGCAGAAAGATGGGTGGGATGGAATGAGAGGGAAGAAGAGGCTACAGACAGGACACAGAGCCGGCGGGAGGTCACCTCCCAGCTTGTTTGGTCCATAAGCTACTACAGGAAAGGACTGCGGGAGGAAAGTCTTGTCCCCTATTGCCTTGAATGTCTCAGAGGAGGGTGGGAGGTGGGTGGAATGAGGGTAGAAAATCCTTCCTGAATTGTGATTTGATACCTCCAGATGCCCCATCTATTCTTCTGCCAGAAAGAGAGAAAAAAAGAAACAGCTAACTTGTAATGATCTTCGGTGAGTCTAGAGAGCTATTTTCCAGGAAAGTGATACTTCTGTGACACCCCCCGCCCATGTTTTTAAAAAACCAGAGAGTCCTCACATAACAGCACTGGGTAAACTGATTCATAGACGGAGGTGCATAACTTGGTTTCTGGCTATTCAAGGGCTGTAGTCTACAAATGATGCATACATTCAGTCTGTAGCATTACATTTGTTTAGGGTTTTAAGAACATCTGTACATGCCCATTCAGGTGGTATCCTCAGGGCAGAACTTGGAGCCTAGGGCCCCACTCAGCACAACTGCCAGGTGGACCCCCAAACACAGCAGGGCTGACTTTGAAGAAAATAGGTTACTGCACATTTCCACCAAAGATCCTCTGTATGTATTTTCCCATAAGACCATGCATTCCAACATCACACACACACTAACTGAATTATTGCCCCTTTCTTGTATCGGAAGGCTCACAGAGAAAGCTTAGGCTCTGATATGCCGCTCTCCATGGTCCTACTTCTCAGTGTATTTCAGCCACTCAGTGCTTTGCCTTAACATTTGTAACAGAGATTGCTCACTTAAACGCTAGTCTGTATGCTGTCTTTTCGTGAGCATAACAGGTTTAAAAGGAATTCACAAAGCCGGCTTCCTCCTTGTGAAACGCCACAGATAACCTTCTCTTAAAAGAAAGCAGATATTTCAAAGTACCTGAAAGTTGTTTAAGCTGCTCAGCTTCCAGCTCCTCAGCATGGAGTTTATTCTTAGACTCTTGAGCATTTCCAATAAAATTATGGTTAAAAGCTCCCCATTGCTTTCCAGCTAATCAGAGCACAGCTGGAGTTGTGATTTGGTTTTCTAAATTTCATTTTAAAAAGACTTTAAAAAAGCTTTCTGTGTGCAGTTGTGTGGGGTGAAAAACAAAAAAAACACCCAATAGCAAAAGTTGCTAAGACAATGTTTGGAAACACATTTTTTGCTGTTACTGGGCACAGTTCAAACGGCTGGTTTTGACCTGTAAAACCCTAAATGCTTTGGGTCCAGGCTATTTTAGGGGCTCAATCCCCCATGTGATTTTGGGAGAAGGTCTCAGACCCATTGCTTTCATGGACATGCCTGGTGTGGAGATGAGAGTGGGACTTCATGAGGGCAGCTCTCAGGCTCTGGAATTCCCTTCCAACCAAGCTGGCCCCCTCTTTGATATCCTTTAAGTAGGCTTTTTAATAAGAAAGGTGCTACTAAGGGAAAGGTTTTAACAGGGCCATTGCCTTTTTTAATATTTTTAAATGTATTTAAAATAATTTAAAGGACTGTTATTTAGTCCCTTTTAAAGACTGATTTGTTTAATTGTTTTTCATCATCATTTTATCATCATTGGCTGAAATTCTGTTGCTTAAGTCACTACCGTCACATGCCTGGGAGAACAACCAAGTGGTGGCCAAATGCATTGCTGGCGTATATTTGGGCCCACAATAACCATCCAGAATGATCACACACATCAGATACACGGGTTTTGGATATATGCTGCACAAACCCAATCGGATTCTGGACAATAAATATATAATTCTAAAGCATCAAACAGCATTTCAAAATCTGCATAATCCTTCACATGGTTTGTTCAGACAGATCCGTGCTTGTAGTACAGTACAATGATTTTTTAAAAAAATCTCAGCTATGGTCATCATACTATATATACAAATGAGAAGATACATTGGCTTTTGTGATTTCAGGGTTTTGTTACAAAAATGGAATGGCTTAAGATTAACAAATACAGTTGCGAGTCCAACATAATCACTAGCAATCTCTTTAAGTTAGAGAACTGGTAGAACTAAAGCCTTTTGTGATGAATCTCCTCAAATGTTTCTGTAAATACCAGGATGCCTGACACTGCTCCACAATTGACAATCAGTTTTCTGACAAACAAGTGGCGCCATGTTTTTGTGAACTTCAGTCTTGAACAGGCTGTTTAATATTTTTTGTATTACTTGACTACCCATCAGCATGCATTTTATATATTTTCAATTCAACATTTATACCCCACCTTTCTCTTAAAAAGGACCCAAGGGGGCTTACAGTATTCAAAAACATCCATGTGCTTGTAAATACATACACTTACTGGTAGCTTGCGGTCCACGTGGGGGGGGGCACAGCCCATTGTATCTTATCGGGGTGAGGTGCCTCCTTTGCTCAAAACATGGTTTGGCCCCAAACTCATCTCTGGGTCTGGTCATTCCTTGTTTATGCTGTGCCTGTACTGATCAGCTATTTGATCAGCTATTCCCACTCCCCAGTTTAGTGTCCAGAGACTAGCAGTTGGCCATCTCTACTTCATTCAATGAGATTGTTCTCAGCACTCCTTACCTAATGCAGAAAAGATGGCTGCAGCCCAGAACATTTCACCCATCAGAGCAGGTATGAAGATGAGCCCTCCCATCCGTTTTCCATATATCTGCTGAAAAGGGTCCAACATGGTCACATAGCCTTTGGAACGCATGGGTTTTGCAAAGAACAAGCCACCTGAAATATCAAACACCAAAAAACTAATAAACATAAAAAAGAGGAAGGGCTCTCATGGGTTGTCTGGTCCAACGTAACTTTATTCTTCAAGACTCAGTCTAAACCAATGGTTGTACATGAAGCTATTTCCCCATTGTGGGATAAATGTTTATTTTCCTAAAAAAATCTGCAAAACTTTTCCAGGCCATAAGATCATGAATTTGTTTGCCAGAACAAATGAGACACCTTTTTACGTAAATGGGATTGAAATCCCACACTCATGCAACGCTATGGAACAATCTCTTTGCTAAGGACTATAACATTCATATTATATTCAGCTGTATAGACTAGGACTTTAAAAATAAAAAAGGGAATCAGCAGAGCACTTTAAAGACAATATGAAATAGAACAGTCTGGATTCTTGTGAATTCCCAGTTTAGTACAGTCACCCGATTCAATGGTGCTTATTATTATTTTCCATCTAGTGTTTGATAGATGCATGGTTTATTACTGGACCTAGAGGGGGGCTGTACCCCCAAGTGGGGAGTGAGGTACCCTCTCATGTAATCTATGAATTGCTACTGGCAGCTCATAACAAAATTACATTTGTGGGTATCTAGCATGGATCACGGCTTTTGCTGTTACTGTCTATAATAAAACAAGCTGTCCAATGCTTTGTTACCAACCCTTACTGCAAATAAATGGCAACACAATCATGGGAATGGTTGTTATTGTGAAGTGCTGTCACCGTCAGCCGACTATCAATGGAATGCTACTCATCAATACGAATGTGCTAGGGTAAAAGCAAGCATCCAATAGCTTCTGTGTAAACTTAATGGGAGCAGAGCCAGTTAGTCATAACTCACGATCATGGGAATGGTTGTTATTGTGTAGTGCTGTCACAGCTGACTATCAATGGAATGCTACTCATCAGTACGAATGTGCTAGGGTAAAAGCAAACATCCAATAGCTTCTGTGTAAACTTACTGGGAGCAGAGCCAGTTAGTCATAACTCACATAAAACCTGTTGATTTGAATGGGTCAAATCATGATATTAAGATTGTATTAAACGCAAAAGATGATATAATTTCATTAAATGCCCACATCCCTGAAGCTCCTTCTGTTCTTAAGACAAACAACAACAACAGAAACACCAAGCAGCAGCAACATGTGATGTAGTGCTTGGCTTTAGCATCTTAAATACAGGCCAGTGGCACACTGCTCTGCAAGCTATCTATCTCCTTTCTGGTGCTCATCCTTCCCTCTTCCCAGATATTCACCATAAAAAAAACACTAAGGGGGCAGTCAACCAAGCAGTTCTTTGGTCTGTGGGGTCAGTGAAATGATTAACCTTGACTGCCTTATGTTTTAACATTGCTAGTTTGATGAAGATCATGCTATGTGCCGCCTTCATAGCATTAGCTTACCTACAACCAGGCTAAGAGAATATCCAATGGGTGCCTGGGCCCAGGCCATCCCATAACCTGGGAGGTATACTGCCTCAGCCGTCCCATTTATGTAACCGCCTCCAACCCAGGTAGCTGAAGAAGAAACAGAGAATTACCTTGAAGTGCATAGCAGACGAGGAAAGACAACCAACATACTACTAATAGAGAGTAACAAAGATGGTATCCAATCACTCCTGACTGAAGAAGCGACTAGGATGAATAGTGAAATGTTTCAACCGAACAAGAAAGAAGTCCTGTTACCATGACTCAACTTCCAGATAACCTCACCTGGATTACTGAGAATCTTCAATGACAGATCACGCCTGAGCTACTTTTTTTGATTAAAGCGGCGAGCCTTTAATATGCCAATTTGTATTAGACACTGAAGGTGAAGTAGATTTATTCAGGGGAAGGTAACTGTGGTCCTTTGGATATTCTTTGGACACTACAACTCCCACAGCCCCTCACCAGTGGTAATGATGATTGGGGCTGATGGGAGTTGTAGTATTAAAGGCGCCTGGAGGGCCACAGTTACTCTCTGCTGATGAAGTTATTCTAAGGAAAAGTAACAGAGAGAATGAGAGAGCGAGACAATATAGTAAGCTCTAACAGTGCCATAACCCATCCAAATGTTACCCTTTACTCTTCTGTTTTTGTGTAAACATGTTTCTGTGTTAAGCTATGTATAAAATCTTGCCATTAGAAATGGCAGTGTCTCTCACATAGCTCCTTCCTGTGCAGCTAATGAGCTGATGCATAGCAGCATCTCCATCCAGCAGAGAACAAGGAAGACTCTGAGGCATCTCGAGGACACCAAGACATTAACATTCAAGCTGAGAAAATAGTCCTGCTGACAACCATTTGATGGAGTGTTTTTCTTCATTCTACAGAGCCTGTTAAAGTTCATCTTAAAAATTGAATGCTTTTGGTAAAAGTCTTGGTTATACTGGCTATAGGCCAATTTTTTCTTAAAAGAAATAAGCAACCCACCAGTTTGCCTTCTCTTCTCTTCCCACTCTCTCCACCAATTTGTATGTGGGGAAATTTGTCAGGCATAAATCCCAGTTTGGAATTTCTTTAAAGAAACCTTGACATTCCCCTCAGGTTTAATAAATCAGTCTTGCAAAAAAATTTTGCAAGCTGTACTAAAGGTTGAAACTAGACATAGTCATTCTCATAGTTCACCCAATGAAATCAATGGGAGAAGTGAGTCATGACACCCCTCTTGAATCTTATGGATTTCTATGGGTCTCCTCTATATATGACTAAATCTATATCTAATCCTACATTGCAAACACACAACAGTAAGATCTGATAAACCTTTACACCGTATCTGTTACAGCACTGGCTCAATACCACTGTAATTCCATGTGAAATTTTTGGTAATTTATCAGTATTTCTAAAAAATGCTTGTACCTTAAGAGTTACATCATCCTCCCCATGCACAATGGGTCTAACCTGTTCTCCCCCTCTCCCCAGCTGTCTTCACAGCAATTTAATAGGATAAGAGATTGCAGATATTTATTGTCTTTGGCACACTGTATTCTTGAGTACTCGTCAAGGGCAGCTTATTGTGCAGGAAGGGCACCTCACCCTGAGATTGTGGGGTGAGATACCCCGCTTTGTTTAGAGCATGAGTTTCTGGCATGAGTATCAATGTGATATTCTGAAGATCTACAATGAGATCTCCATCTTCGTTGACTGTCAATTTTGGCCTCCTCTGACTTTTTCTTTTCAGTTACTTTTATCTCCAGCACCATTTCTGACTTTTCTGAGTTTTGGTGACGCATGCCCTTCTTTTTGGTGGCATATAGGCGGGGTATAAATCAAACAAACAAACCTTTTCTGAGTTCTGGTGGCGCATGTCCTTCTTTTTGGTGGCATATAAGTGAATCCCAGTGAGTTTTCCAGGCTGAGCAGGAATTTGAACCAAAGTCGCCTGACTCTACTTTGACTCCCTGTGCATGACACCACTCTGTCAGATGATATCAATGTGAATCCCAGTGAGTTTTCCAGGCTGAGCAGGAATTTGAACCAAAGTCGCCTGACTCTACTTTGACTCCCTGTGCATGACACCACTCTGTCAGATGATATCTTTAATAATAATCATCATGTGCCATCAAGTCAATTCCAACTTATAGTGTCCCTTTTCACAGTTTTTCCAGGTACAGAAGACACAGAAGTGGTTCGCCATTCCCTTTTTCTGGGGCTGTACAGCCTACCCAAGGCCACACGGGCTGGCTCTTCCCCTACGTAGAAGCCACAAATCAAATTCCCAACTTCTGGCTCTGCAGCCAGATACCGAAACCACGTAGCTATCCAGGCAGCAAGTGATCCCTTTTCTAGAACAATAACATCTCAAAACCAGAATACATTTTGAGTCCTGCAGAAGTCTTCATCAGGCTGGCTTGGGGAAAAAACCCTCCCAAAAATATTTTTTGTCAGATATTGTGGGTAGGCTATTAAGAGTGATTATTCTATAAAGGTAGTTCTTTGTGCAGAACAGAGGATAACCCTCCCAAAAATATTTTTTTGTCAGATATCGTGGGTAGGCTATTAAGAGTGATTATTCTATAAAGGTAGTTCTTTGTGCAGAACAGAGGATTTGATTGTAAATATATCTAATCAGTCCTCTTTCATTTTTGAAATAAATGTATGGGGGGGTCATTTTGTAAGAAAACTGTAGTGACCTCTGTTAATTTCTTTCTATATGTATTCATCTCCAATAAGCTGCAAAAAATACAAGGCACAGAGAGTTATTAAACATATGCCTTATTTATTTATTTGTTTGGTTGTTTGGTTGATTGATAGATTTACTGTATATCCCAACTTTCTCTCAATGCTTTGTCCTAAGATGGTTGCCTAGTTACAATCTGGTGTAATATGGTGAGCAGTAGGATACTTCCACTTAAATTACAGTAATAATATCTAATTGTAATAATATTTGCCTGTAGTATTTTAAATTAGCATATGCATGTTTCATGCAAAAATATCCTCCTTTTTTTGTAATGATATTTGCATGTAGTATTTTAAATTAGCATATACATGTTTCATGCAAAAATATCCTCCTTTTTGTGAAGAATTTCTCTCCTTTGGGTGTTCCATATCCTTCTTTTTCCAACAAAGCATGGGCTCCTGTATTTCTGAAGCATGGTTGATGGCAACACACAAGAGGACTTTCTTGGTGGTACCCTGTACGTGGAATTCCCAGTCCTGAGTGGTTAAGCCAGAGCTTTAAAAAGTTAGAGCTTTTCTTGTAAAAGTTAGAGTCAGCTGGCTGGATACTGGCTACCATTCACGGAAGTTTAAACCAAATGTAACTTGTTAGTCTTTAAAGTGCTGCAAGACTGCTTGTTTTTGCAATCTAAATACAGCAGGACTCCATTACCCACTGGGGGTGGGTTTCAAGCCCTCCTGGCAGATGCTGAAAAAAGTGAATTATAGACAAGACTATTTTAATAGTGAACACTATACATAGCATAGCCTCTGACTCCCTCTAATGGCCTGTTCTGGCCACTAAAAACTTTCATTTTTAGAAATATATATTTCTATGGTTTTTCTTTTAATATTCTCAATATTTTCAGACCATGAAGAAATGAATCCGCAGATACTGATCCTGTGGATAAAGGAGTCCTACGCAGATACTCATCCTTTGGATAAGGGAGTCCTACTGTAATAACTTTTCCAGGGTCTCGTCTAAGCCATCTTCCTCTTCAGTTGTGCTCTGCTAGCAAGTTTCTTGCTAACGTTTCTTTTTAAGCAAGCTTTTGTCCCAGTTGAAATTACTTTTCCAGGGTCTTGGCTAAGCTATCTTCCTCTTCAGTTGTGCTCTGCTAGTAAGTGACGATGTTTCTTTTTAAGCAAGCTTTTGTCCCAGTTGTTGTTTGGTGCTTAATGGCTGGTCCTTTGAAGGGTTTTAATGTTCGTTTGCTCCTCCTCCTGCTTTTAGTTTGTTAATGTGTTTTCTTCTTCTATATTTTTATGCTTTGCAAGTCACGGGGAGGAACTTCTTTCTGGAGAGGTTAAAAGTGGAATAATTTTAAACCAATTTTTTTTTAATTGTCATAACTGAGTCTTGCACTGGTTGAGATCCATCATTTAACCTTATGAGTTGCTTTCCTTGCACGGTCCTTCTGCTGTTGCTTGCTGGCAATTGTCCCAGTGTTTAGTCCACAGAGACTCAGATCAGCTGCACGTGGCTCAGCAATGAGAGCACTGAACTATGGATTTGACTGGACAACATCATTTTTGATATGCTTAATAAACAATCCATTAATATTTCTGATTACTTCCTTAAGACTTTTAAATAATTACTTATTCAGAATTCATAAATACAGAGCTTGGAATTGCTCTATATACTTGTATATCTCAAGAAGGCTTTGGGGGTATGGGAGGGATACAATGACCTGTCAACTAGCAGCAATTTGCATCTGCAGTTTACACCACTGCTGTAACTAACCAAGAGTTACTGTATACACCACTGCTGTTACACTGCTGTAACTAACCAAGAGTTACTGTAACTGTAACTAACCCAGTTACTGTAACTAGTTACTAGTAACTTACTAACTGTAGTTACTTTTGGTTACTTGCTGTAATCAAAAGTTACTACATTTGCCTGATGTAGTAAAAAAACTGCATTATTTAGTGTGTGTGTGTGTGTGCGCGCGCTATGTGCTGTCAATTCACATCCAACTTATAGCAACTCAGGGTTTTCAAGACAGGTCAGAGGTCAGATATTTGGTTTTTAGCATTGTTACTTCCTGGGTTTCTATGGAAGAGCAGGGATTCAAATCCAGGTCTCCTGCATCAGTTTATCACCCCCTCGCTAGTTACCACAACATTGTGCTACTATCTGCTAATAATGGCACTATGGCTATAAGGAAAATATGAAACCAAATATGGGTTTACAGAAACTGTAAGATATATTTGCTATTACTTCAGTACAGTCCTTGTGTTTTGGAGAATAAAAACTATGCACAAAGACTTTTCAGTATATCCCCCTGTATGTGAATGATGAGCAATCTCACTTCTATAGGCGTCGTTAAAATAACTTCCATATAGAACATGCAAGCAGGTTAGGGGGAGACTAACAGAACCACAATAAAAGAATGAGGGAGAAAACTTCAGGGGAAACGCTCTTTCCAATCAATCACCTCAGAACATGTGTCTTGGGCATGCTATTCGAAATGGGGAAAAGGAACAGGATACTGTATTCTAGAAAATGACCTGGCTAAACAGGAGTACTCCTCACTATAGTATTGTATTGTAGACTTATCATGTATTTGTGTATTACTCATCAACCAACAGTGTTAAACCACAAACTCAGATCACATCCAGTTTTGCTACCTGGCTGAAAACATGGCTAGTATGAATGAACAGATGGATCCTGACGTCCGAGTCTCCCTTCAATCAATTTACCCAACTCATTTCTCAGGAATCAGTGGCCTCAAATCAAGGGCCCAGACAGCTTGTTCTCCATAGGAAAACAATTGCTAATGATCTTTTTTATTTTTTTTCCATTCAAAAAAATTTCAGTGGCCAGATTTTCTGAGCAGTATACAAGTAGCTTAAAGTGGTAAAAATAAATCAGTCCGGGATAATACCATAGCAAAACTAGAAACAAAAGATAAAAGGGCGGAGAGCTGAATTTGCCAAAAGAATTTCTGAAATGCATGCAATGAATACACGAGAGACTCTGCGTACCACACAATATATTTATGAGACACCGTCTACCTCCTGTGCAACAGTGTCACAGATAAGGGCATGTTGATACATCAGCTACAATTATGCAATAATATATATAAACTGATTTTATATTTCATATATCAACTTTCTCCTTTTACGGTACATATCACTCACAATGCTTACAGTATTTTACAAATGCTTAGTAATAGGAAAGCTATCTGAAGCCTCCTTTTTCTGGGTTTTAAGACTATTATAGAAGGCTGCTTCTGACAGTGTTTTGATTTTAATCTCAGCCAGATTAAGTGCTTTTTTCAAGACCTTTTTATCATAGACTTTTATTTTGAAATAAAATTATAGGTAACAAAAGAGGATTCTGTGAAGATAGCCAAATATGGAAGAAAGCAAAATTACAGATCACGGTGTGTGAAGGGTAAATTTATGAGACAAACAAGTTCAATTAACCAGAGTGCAAGACGAAGCACATGATTGACTGAGTGAGTTTGGATGTGAAGATTATGTAGCTAAATCATAGTCACAACCATATTCAACTAGAATATGATCAGATATTCACTCAGGATCTCGACTTATCCTGGACTTGAGATTTAAACAAAGATTTAAACAAATAGCAAAAAATATGCAATACAAATTAAAATATATTTCATTTTTTTTCACGTATGTAAGGTAGTGTTCCTACAAATAGTTATGTAGTAATAGCTCCATAGGTTGCAGTAGGTCTGGGCTTGCATACATAGGATATAATTTTTTTTGTGCTGAAATGAAACTGTTTCTCGAATTTGCTTGCACTTTGCGAACACATGTATTTTGCATGGAATTCTTCCTTTTTTAGTTAGATACTTCTGTTAAAATCATACTGTTTTTCCTGTAGCTCATCAGTAGTAATGGAAACCATTTGCCACCATCAACATTTAAGAGTTTAAATATTTATGTTACATAGGTATTTCACAGCAGACAACTAGCATTTCTTTTGGTGAAATTGTCTGCAAAACTCAATTCATTTTCAGGACTGGCAAGCAGTTTTTTAAATAGAATTAAACATAGTTTCTCTTTTAAATTTTAGGAGTTCCCATCCCTTCTGAGAAAACCATAATCAGTAAATATTTTCTATATTTTAATATCTGCCTATCAAAAATCAGTGTGAAATTATGACATAGTGACACAAATTGTTGTAGGATGGGGATCTTACCAAATAACATCATTTCTTATTTTGCATGTATTACCTCAGAACTCCCACCATAAGAACTATTTTTTGAATGTATACTGAATGGCAATCCAATGGGCAAGCAAAGGGGGAATACAAATGGACATTCTTCAAAAGGGAGAGAAAAAAGACAGAATTTTGTATAGTGTAGCTGATGTTCTCAATAATTTTCCATTATGAAGCTCTCATCCTATCTGTAATTGAGTGAAAATTTGATGGAAACTGACAGGAACAGATCAGAACAACAAAATTGTGTCCTTATTTTTATATTAAAATTTAGTAATTTCAATTTCAAAGTTGAAACTACTTCAGGTAGCACTGAAAGATAACTGTCAAATCTGGAACTGAAATGCTTAAGAAGCCTAATCTGTCTTAAAAATGAAGCCCTATAATGAGCAGAGTGGACTCATTTTATATTTAATGGCATTTCTAGACAAATCCTAAATGTCAGTTTGATAACACCTAAAAAGTGGAGTGGCTTGAGGTCCAAGCAGGAGAGGGCACCTCAGCCTGAACGGCACTCCACTGATTAGGGGGACCGCTGTTCAGATCATAAACCACCAGTGCCTGCAATGGATGGCTTAGCTGTTAACGCTCTAAATATTTTGGTGCATTATGACTCACTATTTGGCCAGTTTGGCCTCTGTGATGTCATCATGGAGTCAAAGAAGCTTGACCCCATTTAAAGGAAAACAAGCCTCCAGGTCTTTGGATGTCAATGCATACAATAATATTAAGGCTACACTCCTGTGCAAAGTTAGCACCACTGCATGGAATGGGACTTAATTCTGCACATACAGGATTTCCTTGCACGACTAAATGGCTGAGCTGCTTTAATGGTCAACATATGGCCTGGAAGGTTTTGTGGATCAGAATACGAAAAATTGGATTGTCTGCTTACATAGGGATAGGGCTGGTTCAGTGTATGCCTACTATGACTGAATCCAAATTACAGTTTCATCTGGTTCAAATTAAAGAGTTGTACTTTATTGCTCTTTAACATGAATAGTACTTTTATCCTTCTCTGCACATAAACACATTTTGCCTTCATTCTGTGAAGTGTACACAATAGATTTTGAAATAAAAGTAAAAATAAATTAATGCTCCACGACAAATTCTTAGGGGTCCATAAAGCATAGGAGTGGTTGACTTCTTTGTTCACCAGTTTTGCAGTGCAATGCAGGAATAGAGAAGTTAAGCAGTGATTCTTTGGATATTAGGTTGGAAAAGTCACTTAATTTGTTAGACAGCGTCTATAATAATGAATAAGGAGGTATATTAAGAAAATCACGGTTGTATATATCAACATTGACTTCTTCATGCTGCATTATTCAGCAAGCCCAGTGGGGTATGAATTTCAAAGCCCAAACCTTTTCTGTGCAAACACTTGGAAGCAACTTGTTGAAGTCTTTCTGACAGAACTATTTATGGAGCATGCAATTTCACTGGATATGATCCGTACAGTTGTGGATTTGCAAAGGGAACGATTATACCCACATGAAACAAATGTGTTCCTTAACTGACAGATAAACGAGAAGGACATACATACCAGTCATGGTGAATCCACCCACCAGCAAGCCAATGTCTCTTCCACCAACTATTATAGCTTCACTCCGATCTCCATCGCTGCCACTGTTTTTGGTTTTCCAAGCAGCCCATATTCCAACAAGAAGGATGGCCAAGTAGAATACAATGATGGCAATCAGCCCTTCCACGTGGAAAGCCATTTTGAAGTCACCACGCTTCTCTGGGCTGCTATTTCATTAACATGAGAGCTAAGGAAAAAGTAACAGCATATTATAAACTCACCAGACAGCAAATGAAACATGTAGAATCCGAATAAAACTGGAACATTTTAAAAAATCCCATTTAACTTTGCTGTTTATCCTGACAGCTTATATAGCCTTTTTAGAAACGTCTTCTTTGTTTCAGACAATCCATATGCCGTTCACAGGAATCACAGAATCTTTGAACAAATATTTCAATCTAACCATCAATCATATGTATATAAAACAATGCACATATATCCCTATGCCTAAAAATCAAGATTTTTCAGTCTTCTTCCAGTTTAAACAGGATGAGCTTATTGAAATGTATTGTTCTACAGGAACTTGGTTTGCTAAATCTGAATTTGGGTTCAAGATCAAAGATTTCTCCATAAAAGTCAAGATCGCTTTTAATCATCCACAATGGTGAATTCTGGAAGACTTTTTAATTAATTGAAAAAGGTATTCACTTTTAATGAATTTTTAAAGTTATTATTACTATTTTGAATCCTGTTAAAAGAATAAGTACTAAAAATACAAAAGTGAACCTGCCACTTTTACACATGTAATTTTAATCTCAATGGCATTTCTTTCCTTTGTGCATTATCTTTAGTTTACAATAAAACTCATCCCCTAGAACATTGAAGATACAAATAGAATTCAGCACAGTCAATAGCCATCAGTGAATGATGAGAGAGCAAAAGTATTGCACTCATTTGATGTACTTTAGCCCTGATTTTGTCTGTTCAGAATTTAGTTTTTGTTTCACCAATAAACTGAATTTTGTTTTAGGAGAGGACTGCTATTGTGAGTAAAATCCATTGTCTCCAGTCACAACAACATGCACAGAGGGATCTGTGTGACATAAATATTTAAGTTTCCGTAAGAACCAGAGGCAAGTACGATTTAATTAGTGCCGATAGCATGGGCATTCAAGCTAAATTACTAATTTTCTTCTCATCTGACTCCCCATGCCTGATTATTACCTTAGAAATTGATGACCAGTTTTCCAAAGTTCAAGCTTTTAACGATGGCTGCTGGAGGCAATACATGAGTTTACACAGGCAATTCTTCAACTCTCAGATTAGCTCCAGTAACAAGTTGGATTCATTGTATTACTCCCATCCGAGAAAACCAATTATTCTTCCCTGCATTGTTAGACGAAAGCTCTTCCCTCCCCTCCATGCCCTCTCCCCTTTCTTACCCGTTTCCCTATTCCATCCTGCCCCCAATTCACCTCGTTTCCAGCAGGTTTCCTCTTCTCAGTTCTTCCAATGCACTCTGATTTACTTTCCCTGAATCTGGCATCAAGCAGCTCAATCTCAGCACCTTGTGTTCACCCACAGAGGCAGAGTGTGAGAAGCGGCTTTCCCTTGCTTTAAAGGGACAGGCACATTTGCAAGGAGCTCCAGGGTCTTAAAAGAGCATGGCTCAGACTAAGCAAGAGACACATGTAGGGTTCTGTCCAGCAGAGAAAGAAAAAAGCCCGTGCACCTCACACCAGCTGAAAGGCTGAATCTGCTCTCCACTGTGGAGAGCACAATGAAGAGCCACTTCCAGTGGCTACCTCTCCCCCCATTTGACCCCGTCCCCAATTGCTTTCTGGGACTGTAACTATGGAGGCAGGCAGCCAGGTAGTCAGCCCCACTGGTAAGATTATCTAGTGCTCCTGTCCTTCTAGACGCAATCAGAAGCCGATAAACAAGGTCTCTGGCCAAGATGTACCGGTTTCTCTAGCCCAACGCCACAAGTGCAGGAAAGATGCCATTTCCTTCCTCCCATTCCCTGGATATGTTCACTTGGGGGTGGGGTGGGGCGCTAAGAAATAGTTAATGGATTCAAAAGAAGAGATTCCATTATAAAGGAGTAAGGTGAGGAGACTGCATCCGTCAGAGCTGGAAGAAATGCGTCACGGGGCAGAGAGGGGCCGTGCGGCGGAGGGATGACTCAACAGAGCGTGATCGACTACACAAGAGACAGTGGGGTGAAAGAAAAATGGAGAGGACGTTGAGAGTGAACAGGAGACGTGTTAAGGATGAGCATGAGAGCAAGAGAGCTTCGTGTCCAGGGACAGTTGCTTACTGGGTACCCTGGAAAGGGAGATCACGACGACATGCCAAACACAATAATAGTGGGATCTGTGTTTAGTTGAGCGGCATGGGTGACTTGGAACAGTGTTCCCCAAAATACAAGCATCTTAACCGTTAAATCATAGTACTTCCATTCAATCCACTGCAAGTGTATTCAGGAGGATTTTAAAAGCCTTTTTAAAGATCACCACTGACATTCCATATTATCCCTGTGAATGTATTTTCCTGTTTAAAAGGTATTGTTTCATTCGAAGCGACCTCCTACAGTTTTATTTTCTTCCCCAAATGCCAGTTTCCAATTTCCTGTGCCAAAAAGACCCATGCACAATTGAGAATGTTTATTGTGCAGTCCATTCTTCTTCCAGTGTCTTATCAAACAGCTGTGCTGAAGTGCAAAGACTAAAATTCTGGGCATACAGTACTTGCACAGGAATGAGCTTCACTGAATGTACTGGGACCTATTTCTATGCACAACCTGGTGCACACGCAAGAGAAAGACCCCTCTAAAATTAATCTCCACTGCCTGGTGGAAATACAACCAATCAGCTTCCACATGGAGGCCGAAGTATGCGATTTCCCTTGGGCATTTTCTAAAGAAAAACCAGCAATATTGTATGGGTTAAATTAGATCTGGCAAGATAATGCTCCATGATAATATAGGGTATGACCACCAGGCCATTAGCTCTCCAGTGAGCAAAAGTGAGCAATCTATTTACATTCAGAATTTGTGGCATCTCTTCCAAAAATGTGATAGATAGATAGATAGATAGATAGATAGATAGATAGATAGATAGATAGATAGATAGATAGATAGATAGATAGATAGATAGATAGATAGATAGACAGACAGACAGACAGATAGATAGATAGAAAGATAGATGACAGACAGACAGACAGAATAGATAGATAGATAGATAGGTAGGTAGGTAGGTAGGTAGGTAGGTAGGTAGGTAGGTAGGTAGGTAGGTAGGTAGGTAGGTAGATAGATAGATAGATAGATAGATAGATAGATAGATAGATAGATAGATAGATAGATAGATAGATATTAAGAAATCACAAAATCAGGATGTCACCCTACCTTTATTGGACCATTAAAATAACAAAAAGTGAGCTTTTGAGTCCTCCAAGATTCTTCATGAGGGTAGACATTAAGGAGTTTCTGTTAGGGGGAGAAACAGAAAACCAAGATCTAGCCTTGGTAACATTTAGACTTTTCTGTCACCCCTGCCCCACAGGTTCTGAAACAGCTAATGTGATGAAGTCCATAATGTGATGAATGTCCACCTTTTCAATTATATCTTAGTGTTCTAAAAATATACCATCCAGCCCTTTTTTTTTTTTTTTTTTTGCTCATGGACCACATTGTGTATTTCTCTTTATGCAGAAAATCACCACTGGCCATGCTGTCTGTGGCATTCTGGGAACCAGAATTTAATTTTTTTTTCAAAGCTGTACCTATATTGTATACATGCAAACGAAATGAGAGCAGCCAAGAAAATATTAGACTGAAATTAAGTAATGAGGAGTAAAACATCACCAGCCACTTGTGGCATCCAGGCAAAGTTCCAGTGTGTGGATTATACTGGTTACATGTGTGAGAATGCATAAAATGAACAAACTCAAAGTTAAGCTAGACTTTCTGTGTCTTTGCTTCCAAGTTATTCAACAGCCACAAACAGGAGCAAAGAACTTTAATGAATATTTTCTTTCCCCCGTATGTGGTTAATGCATATTCTGCCATATTATATTCTCTGACGGAAGGCACTGCCTGGATAATGTTTGATGTTTGGTTCCTTACTTGTGTGGCATTCATATTTATGGGGGTTTTCCCCATAAGAGTTTCCCTCAGCTTCTGCTGTGGAGGAATTCTGCTCACTGTAACAGTCTGTCACTTCCTCTTGTGGCTTTCTGGTGCTGTTGTCCTTACCTGCTGAAGAAGCACAAGCTAAACTGAGATTTCATCCTCCTTCTTCCAGTTTATCATCCTCTTCCCTGTCTACGGGTATCTCATCTCTCCCACATGCTTCTTCACCTCCAAGTATTATTTACTGGAATGGAGAACACTGGCTCTATTCAGTTGTGCTTTAAAATGTGTGGAGCCCACAGGTGGTGTGGGAAGTATCCTATCCCTGTGTCCTCCACCTTCTCTTTAATCATAGAAACAAAACTGCCTGCAGAACAGGAAGCTGCTCCTCTCACCCGTACAGCACTTCCTCTTCTTCAGAAAACCACTTATGGGCTGCAAGCATTTTAAAAGACAACTGAAGAGACCTTCTGGATGAGGTGTTTCTTACTCAAGGAAAGACAGACTGTATGTAAATGAAAATGATCATGGACCAGAACAGAAATTCTGTGAATATGTAACAAGCAGTCATGTACTGGTTATTGCTTTAGTTAATGATAAGTGCATAGAAGGAAAACACTGCATATGTAAGGAAGGGTTATTTCTTTGCCTCCCAATGTGATCACAGCTTCACTCGCTCCCCCACATGACAGAGAAACAGATTCCTATTAGCATTGGAAGGAACTCCCCCTTGCATTCTAGTCCACAGGAATTTCAACACTTGCAGGGAGCAAAGACATCCACCTACCCTCTGTATGCACATTGTTTCTGATAAAGATTACTGATCTGTAGCTAACTACAGATAGCTGTGTGGTATGAATTTACAGAATGTCTGCTTTGGCCATCACATTGCTAAGCCTATTCATTCCTGCTTGCAATCTCTAGTTTATGTCAAATGATGGTGAAAATTCCCCTGATTTCATGATTTCCACACTTCCCCATTACTTCAGGCTCCCCTGCATGGGCTGGATATGCGGGATCCTGTCACCAAGAAAATGCTTCTGCAGTTCAGGACCGTGTGGGTATCTTTCTCCGTATGGTCAGTACTTGCGTAGCTAACTGTGTGGATAGCTGTG